AATATATACAATTAGACTCTGGCCCAGCCCCCATCTACTAATGAAAAAACCCTCCTCTTTTTTCCTATTCCTGCTATGCCTCAATGGAGCTTAATCATATAAGAATTCTATCTATCTATATACATATACACCAGATATTGTGTGTGTGTGTGTGTGTGTGTGTGCGCGTGCGCATCAGAAAGACCGATCTTTATCACAATAGGAAAAGAAATAATATCACATACACTAAACACAGTGAGGACTGAGCGGCCACGGCTTCTTCTGAGACCAGGCAGTCTAAACTCTTTTTTGGGTCTGCAGGTAATTAAAACCAAAGCAAACAACAAAACAGCGACCACCAGGAATAAGTACCAGCAGCACAACTTGGGCGCTCAGATTCAAGCCTCCTGCAAGCCAAAATACAAGGATACAAATGCACAAAGCTCAGATGTTCACAAGATGTTCAGATTCAAACCTTCTTGAAGTAGCTCAGGTCCAGGCCCAGTGGTGATCTGAATCAGACAGTAATTCCTTCTCTGGGAGATCCTATCGGACAGCAGCCTGTCAAAGCTACTCTGCTGTGGCTTTGCCTCCAGTTTCCCACTGCTGCATACGTGCACTAGAGAACAGAGTCTCACTATCAAAGGCTTATCAAAGGCAAGCAGCTGCAGAGTTGGCTTGAAGAAGGCGTCCTACTGATGGGTCATTTTTGTCTCTTCCTAGCTTTCTTCTGACGCTGATACAAATTGGCTCAGCCACTCTGGAAAGCAATTTAGAACTATGCCCAAATCAAGAAAATCAACAAGTATTTATTAAGCACCTACTATGTGAAAGGCACTATGCTAAGCACTGGAGTTACAAAGTAGGCAAAACAAACAAAACACCAGACCCTGCTCTTAAGGAGCTCACTATTTAATGGAAGAGACCCCTTGTAAATAACTACATACAAACAAAATACATATAGGGTAATAAATTGGAGATAGTCATAGAGGGAAGGCACTAGCATTAACCAATATCAATCAATAAACATTTATTAAGTGGCTACTATGTGCCAGGCACTGTGCTAAGAGCTGGGGATACGAAACAGGCAAGACAGTCCCCTATCCTCAAGGAGCTTACAATCTAATGGGAGAGACAACATGCATACAAATACATAAGAAGCAGCTATATAAAGAATAAAGCTTCTTGCAAAAGGTGGGATTTTGGCTGAGACTTGAAAGAACACAGGCAAGTGAGAAAAACTGAATAAACTGCGCATGCCTTTTGACTCAGAGATAGGTCTATACCCTAAAGAGATCAAAGAAACAGGAGGACTGATATGTAAAAAAAAAAATATTTATAACAGTTCTTTCGGTGGTGACAAAGAACTGGAACCCATGAAGGTACTCATCAACTGGGGGAATGGCTGATCAGATCATGGCATATGAAAATACTGGAATACTACTGTGCTGTCAGAAAAAATAAAGAGCAGTTTCAGAAAATACCAGCAAGACTTATGAAATGAGAATGAAATCAGCAGAACCAGGGCAATTGATACTATAACATTGTAAAAACAACTTTGAAAGACATAAGAACGGCAATCGATGAAATGACTAACCACGATTCCAAGAAGATGAAGAATGCTACCCATCTCCAGCCAATCTTCATCCCAATAATTCTTTGGCTCTTTCTTAGAGGGTGGGGTTGTCAGGAAGAGATTTGTAAATTCACTTCTTCTTCCCATACTCCCATCCTCCCTGGTTCCCCCTCCTTGCTTTGCCTTAGGCCATAGAAGGGATGTCAGGAACTGTGATGTAAGTATGCAAATATGCTGTTCACTGACAAGAGAAAAATTTGTTCTACAAATCTTCCAGCTCTTTTCCCATTTTTCATCTGTTTATAGTCTTCCAGTTTCTTCCTTAAAAGCTCTGGGATGGTTTGGTTTAACTGGGAGTCATGCTAAGCTTTCTACAAACTCATTTTCCTCACCATTACTCCTCAATGTTTTGATAGTATAGACCATATTCTTTCCCTATATTCCCTCACTGGTGTTGCCCTCTGCTATTTTTCTACTTAGCAAGGGAGCCATTAGCTCAAGTAATTTCAAGGCCTTTTGGTCTTCTTGTTGTGGTGATTGCTTTATGTCAGCTAAGTTTCTGGTGACAGCCCAAGAGAGCTATTCTTTTATCCATTTTTCAACTGAGGGTTTCAATGACAAGTTTAAATAAAACAGATTGGAGATGTTTTTATTATACTCCATCTTTTCATTTTAATTCTTTCAATTAATTTGATATCTTTGATCTTTGCTTTAACAAGTTGATAGTGTACCCATACAGATAACCTGGAAAAGCTTCCCACATCGCTAACTAGTAATTTCTTGACTATTATAGTCATTTTCTCATCCTTGTGATATTCAGTGTTTGTCACACCTAGAAACCTCCAATTCTCTTCTTGAAAAGATCATTCATAAATAGATTTAAGGATTCTTTTGATGCAATCAAGTCTTTGGCTTTGTTTATTTCTTGATCTGGAGGCATACATTTTTAACACATTTTTTGTCTTTCTCTAGACTTGCCTTTGCATTGATGTCATCCACTATTAAATGTATGTTGATTTATTTAGAGGGTCTTATTGAGCTCAATGAATTTCTCTACCTACTCTTCCTCCAAAACAGATGTTGGCACACAAGCTGTATTTATATTCAGAATGGTCTTTTGGCTTATTTTCATTAGGAGTACTACAAGATAATCCCATGAAATTGTTTTTGTTGCATTTATATACATGACCAAATTAACTCCACTAACTTCTTTATTTGAATCTCTGGGCAAAATCTATGAGTTATTCTTTCACTTAACTGCAGCTTTTGTTTTCTGGTTTCATTTATAAGACTGTCAATACTGATAGATCCAGTTCCTCCAATCAACTCATTTGTTGGTGGACAAGTTTCAAATTTAGAATACCAATGTTTTTATATAGTCTTAAAACTGATTTTTAGTATCCTCTGGTCTTTCAGGATTAAAGGTTCATAGATACAAAACCAGTAGGGCCCTTAGAGGTCTGAGTCTAATCCCCTATTTTGTAGATGAGGAGACCGAGATTGTGACTTGACTACTCAAACAGCAAGAATTTGAGGCTAGTTTCAAACTTAGTTTTTTCCCCTCCCTCCAAGCCCAGAATTCTATCCACAACATTGTGCTGACTCTTAAGACAGTTGATCTTCATCATCATCACTGAAATCAATTGAGAAGCAGCTCTACAATAAGAGTGCCCCAGGGTTTTGCAATGTGCCTTTGCCAACATTTTTATCAGTAACTTGGATAAAGAATAGATGACATGCTCACTAAATCTGGAGACAACACAACGCTACATGGCATAGCTAACATACTGTATGACAAAGTCAGGATTCAAAAAGATCTTAACAGGCTACTATCTTGGGCCAAAACTAATAAAATGAAACTGAATAAGGATAAGTGTAAACTCTTACTTTGGTTTAAAAAAATTAAATTTTACAAGTGCATGCTAGAGGAGGAATAGATAGAGTTTGCCTAAGAAAAGATTTGGGGATTTTAGTGGAAGGCATACTCAATATGAATTGAAAGGATGTTGTGGTAGCCTAGACAGCTAAGGCTACATTAAGAGGGACATAACTTTGAGGAAAAAGGAAGTGATGGTCCTGCTGTATGTTGTTTTGGTCAAAAAAACCTCTGCAGTATTGTGTTCTGTTCTAAGCACCCCATTATAGGCAGAGGTCTGCAGGAAGAAAATCAGGTTAGTGAAGGGCCTCCAGTTCATGCCATTTGAAAGACCTGGGGCAGGGAAGAGACATGCTAACTTTCTTCAAGTATTGATTAGGGGTTGTTCTATGAAAAGGCTTGTTTTGCTTGGCGCTAGAAAACAGAAGGGGCAATGGGTGAGATTTGCAAATCTGGGCTTGAGGGAAGGAACAACTTCCTAACAAGTAGAGTAATCCCAAAATTGAATGGCCTGCCTTGCTGGTTTCCTTCTGGTTTCCTTCCCCTCACTAAGGCAAGGCTGAATGACCACTTGTCAGGTATGCAGATTAGATGCCATTATTTTTCACGTGTGGACTGGACTAGATGGACTGATACCCCCTGAAACTCTGAAATCTGGTGATTCATGAAATATAATAATGATTTTTAATCGTAATGAATGGTATCTTATTCAGATCCAAAGAAAGCCTGGGGGGTTTTAGTCAGCTACATCTCATTTTTAAATTAAAAGTTTTTATGTTGTTTCTGGCACATGGTAGGCACTTTGTAAGTGCTTACAGTTGTATTCCTGGTAGAACATAATCTCCTGGAAAACAGGGACTATTTCATCATTCTCTCTGTATCTCTAATACCTAGCATGGTGCCTGTCATCTAGTAGGAGCTTAATAAATGCTTGCTGATCAACTGGATCATGTAAACAAGATGTTCTTAACTGAGGTCTGTGAATTTGTTTTTAAAAACATTTTGATAACTATTTCAATATAATTGTTTTTCCTTTTTAAGTCTACGTATTTTATGCACTTAAAAACATTATCCCAAGAACGGGCCCAGAGGATTTACCAGACTGCCAAAGAGGTGCACGTACAAAAAAATGGTTAAGAGCTAACCTAATCTAGCGGCTGTTAGGAGTGAAATTAACACAGAGAGAAGAAAGAGCAAATAAAAGAAGTGCAATGTCTATTCAGAGAAATGTAATGTAATGTAATGTCATTTCCAGAGAAAGAAAAGTAAAGACCTAGGAGTGTTTAGGAGCAGGGGAGGCAGTCTCCAGAAAGTCATAGGCAGATGTGAAAAACACTTCACCCCGCTTCCTCTGATACTGCACTTTCTCAATAACCTCTTTTCAATTTCTTTTCTCAAATCAGTAGAAAAAATGAGATTACAGGGAAGGCAAAACTGCTCACACAACCAAAACACTTTTTTGGGGGGTTGGGGTGGAGCATAAATAGAGGAGTATAGGTGGGGAACTGGCTGGCTGTTAGTAGTGTCTACTACCAATCATCTCTCCTTCAATAAATTGTATACAGAAAATCTTTTTTCAAATTTTTGTTTTATTTCAAAATTATGATTTATATATTAATTTGTTTACTATACATAATATGCACTCAATCTAAAGAAAACTGCTTCACATTTCAAATAAAAACAATGATGTCTTAGAAAAATTATACAGGACTGTATATATCTTGCTGTAGATTTACAATAAGCTCTCTCCAAACAAGTACAAATCTCAAAGCAGTCTAAAAAAAGCTACATAAGTGATTTATAAAATAATCTAAGCTCTATGATTAAAATTTCCTGTTCTTTGGATAACCACAATAATGGCACGTTGTAAATTTAAGACAAAAATATTTAACAGTTTAATTAAACATAAAAAGTTTTTTACTCAGTATACAAAAAAAGTTAGATTATTGCAACATGTTTTTGGAGTGAAAATTAATTTTGAAGAAGTATGCTTCACCAAGAAAACTGGACATCAATATAAAAATTTCCTCTTCAAAAAAGTTTCTTAGTTTTAACTTATTAGAGAGGAACAGCATTTCTTCACTGCATCCCTAGGGAGAAGGAAGGAGGGTGAAAATGGTCAGAATGTAATAACCTTCCCACAAACACACCTGCTGAAAACTTTTTCTTACCAAGAAGTCTTGTACAGATGCTAAAGGTCAAATGCCATTAAAGTAATCTTAAATGTAATATCTTGACCTAATACAATTTGTGGGCTTGATAGTACCTGAAATATGTGTTATTACTAGATCTTGGGAATCTTTTTGAAATGGCACTTATTCCAATAAGATTTTAACTGCATATAAGCGATTTTACATATCAAAATAATTTAGCTACCAAAAAAAAAATGACACCAACAAGAGATAAGAGCTCCAATTACTTTTCAAATGCAAAATTTAGAGACAAGCTACAAATTTTTAAAAAATGAATGAAACCTATATTAACTTGTCACATTGAATACATTTTGGCAGATAATTATTCCTATTTTGGATTATCATTTCATATTAAAATTCAAACAAGTTAAAAATTTCTGGCATAGTGTTAGAATCAAGTCACTAATGATGCTTTATCATGGAGAAATCTTGAATGCTGCTCTGTATAGGTAAAAGTACCTGTTACTTCCAGGAAGCGTTAAGATCACTAGGGGTGAATGGGCAAAACGGTTGGGGCAAGAAATGTTTTAATAACAAAGTCCATAGGAGGCTACCACCAGTCCTCTTTCTCCACCAAGAACCTCATAAAAATTTGGAAGTTAAGGGTGGGGAGAGGGAGTGGAATGGAAATGGAAACAGAGATCTACTGAGGCTTCAAGATACACTAGTGGATCCCAATATACTGGTACAACACTTCCATTTGCATCTGTGGATGACTTGTAATTTTTTCTCTTTCAAATTTTGTATCCCATTTATGATGGAATAAAAGACTGAACTAATTTTCTGCATTATTAAAAAGCATGAGTTGTTTTTCCCTGGTTCCTTTCATATGTTACATCTCATAGGTTGGAAAAGAGGAATGGATCTCATTTTTCCTCTGAAGTTAAACTGCATAAATCTCTTTGCCATATGGAATAAAGATATTCCAGCAATACTGGCTTTAAACTAAAATGCCAACAGACTCCATTCTCTACATCCCCACTAACTTTCATTTTTAAGTAAGATATACGTTCCAGAAGCTTGCACTCTTGTTGCAAAGTGTTTCTCTTTTCCTCTTCTACTGGGTATGCCTTCTCTGACTTTTAGATCCAATAATGAAACCATAATTAACACAGAAAACAATTTTACTCAAAACTTTATAACTATAAAGACATATAGGTGAAATACATATAATTCATTTTCTCCACCCAATTCTGTAATGCCAAAATGTATAACAAAGGATACTTGTCACTTCTCTTTATTTTTTCAAGTAATTCACTTCTTATATTGGAGAGAACAATCTGAGAGTCACCTCCAAAAGCTATTTTCAAAAGATCTTGTCAAGTTTGGCATTCCACTTTGGTAGTATAGAACTAGCTATGCAGTAACAAGGGAAAGAGATTAAAATAAACTTACCTTGCATATGGGATATATGATAAACTGTACCTGTAAGAGACAGACAAAATGATTGAGATTTCCAACTATATAGATGTTTTTAAACAAACTAATTTTTATTATTCCAAAAAAGAAAAGCAACTGGTTATAATAAGTAAAATCACCCTCTTGTGTCACATACTCTTAAAAAATAAAAGAGCTCTGCAAGAACTAAATGTACTGCTAAGATATTCTGAATGTTTAAGGAATTAGTTACCTATTAACCACAAATACTGGCCAAGGAAAAATATAAAGATATGAGATACCAATTTCAATTCTCAAGGGAGCCAATTTAACTTCTTCACACATCACAAGTTCAAGCACTAATGCTGGTACAGTCCACTGAAGACCTCCTTCCAATGGGCGCTATAAATTACTAGTGGGAGTCTGGCCACTCAGAGAGTTCTGAATCTACCTAATTATGTTATCTCTTCTAGCTCACATCTTTCCAATTTTCCCACAAGAAAAATCATAAGATTCTGTGAAGGGCATGTTAAAACCTAGGTAAACTATAGCTAAATGGACTACAAATAACTGAGTATTTCCTGATGTCAGTCTAGTTACTTTCTCAAAGAAGAAAATAATTTACTTTGCCATGATGGGCCTGGAATCAGGAGGACCCAAATTCAAATCCAACCTCTGATACTTCCTAGCTGTGTGACCCTGGGCAAATCACTAACTTCCTGTTGTTGTGAGGATCAAACATGATAATATTTGTAAAAAGCTTACCACAGGGCCTAGAACTTAGCAGAAGCTATATAAAAATTTTTATCATGTACTCAAATTTTGCCAGGAAGGTCTAATTCATCAACCTATAGTTTGTAGGATGCAATTTCTTCCCTTTTTTGAAAATGGGGATATTTGTCCTTCAACAGCACAGTACTTCTCACGTTCACCATGCTCTTTTAAAGATTGCTTTGAAAGTGAAGCTTGAATGTGGAAGACAGCAGTTTAGCAATAACATGTCTACAAGTATCCTGAGGTGTAGTTCATTTGAGTTTGATGCCTTAAACGGCAGGCAGCTAGCTGTTCTCTTCTATGATCTTCTTCCCAAACTCTATTATTAGCCTCTTTTGCTGTGTCTTTTTTACTCTCAAAGCCACTCTCCTTAGCAAAGAGTTTCGCAGCTCAGCTTTACTCCCATCATCTGTTATCACAGTTATCCCTTCCACCTTCAGCGGTCATCCTATTCCTCCTCTGATCCTTTTCTGCTTCTCAATATAGCTACACCTCAGGGCAGAAGTTTTGTTTCTGTTTCCTTTCTTCAGTGTTGTCTTCTGAAAATTAACAAGCTTCTCTACTACTGTTCTCTTTATGCTGTCGTCATTTGTCTTTCCTTTGCAGATTAAATGCTTTTTCCTGAGAAACATTTTATCTATCCCTGTTAGGTGGACTCCATCCCTGGCAAAAAGCCGAAATTCAAATCCCATTCTTAAACAATTCTTCCTATCTAGCAATAAACTGGATTTTTTTCCTTAAAAAAAAAGGCAGCTCTTCATGTTTCTTGCTCACTAGGAGACTGAAGAGGCATTTCTCAAACTATTACCTTCTCTTCTAGGATAGAATTCAGACAACATTCTGAGCTAGGCTGCTTGTCCATGGCAGAAAGACAAACACTATGTACTTTATGTGGGATACTACAAAATTCTCCTTGTCCTTTGTACTTGTGAGAAGAAACAGTTTTAGGCCTTCTTTTTGGTGGCTATTGTGCCCACAGCCTCTGCATGGCCAACTGCCCATTATGCTTCCAGGGAGCTAGTGAGGAAAACTTAATTGTTTATGGCAGTCTTCCTAGCTTTTGTCTTGAGATAAGGCTAGCTTGTTCAACTGCCTTTGACTGGCCATCAGTGGTTTCCTGAGAAAGGCCCACAGTACCTTGAAAATGTTGGCATTCAATGTTTTGTTGACTTGAACTTAATCATGCTACTTTGAAATTGAGGAGAAGTCTCTCAAGGAAAAGACACTCAGAATTCCCACTCAGAGACACAACATAAATGAAATTTTTAAAGTACCAAATTCAGACAGTTCACTTTTAGCTTCCGTAATTAAATGGAAAACTTACAGTTTGCTACTTCTGACAAATTAAGTGCCTTTCAAATAGGGTTATACATAATCAAGCTGGATGGTGCAGTGCAAAGAACAGAGGCTTCAGAGTCTGGACACTTGGACTCTTGTCCCAGCTCTGCTACTAATTAGCTCTGCAACTTTAGGCAAGTTACTCAATTACTGTGGCGCTCAATTAACTATGAAACGAGGAGGCTCAACTATATCATCCCATGGATCTAGGACTGTCTTAGACGATGTAATCCCATCTAATTTTAGAAGATAACAAATTTATACATCTCTATTACTATATTCATTAAGGTTTTCTACCACCTTTACTGTAAAACAGCAATTACTAACGAGTGTTTTTGAACATAAAAGTGACAACTTTGGTATCTGTCATCTAAGGATTGAAAAAAAAATAACATATAGATTTAATCTATTAGAACTCCTACTATTAGTAAACCAAGAACTAGCTTTATCATTTTCCTGTAATTATACAGAAATTGTTGACACTGGTTCACATCAGAAATTTTGCAATTAAAAAATCATTATGAATGATTAGAGCCTTAGCTCTAAATTTCTAATTAATGGAGACATAATTACTTTAATTTGGAAAAAAATAATGCAACAGTTGGTCTTCTATTCACCACTTAGACTATTAAGTCACTTCCTTTTAGCAAATAATTATTAAAATAATAAAAAAGACTTGGTTGGATTTAACATTCATCAAGTCATAAGAACATTTTCCCCCTAAATTTCAAACAACAGGAATTCTTTTGTTCCTTCCCAGGTTAAAAATATAAATAGTATATAGCCCTTAAATTAAATCCTTTTAAAAAGCCAAGAGACTAATAGGAATAGAGAAAACAAGAACTATTACTATTAAGAATATCATAAAACTTGAAGAAAATAAAAAAGAATATTCTACTTGCTCACACAATTTTTTTCAGCTGAGGAATGTATCCAAAACATAACAGTGAAGATTCTCCCAAGACTTATCAGAATGGAAGACAACTATCCATTTCTGGTGATTCACATAGGCACAAATTATAGTGATAAAAGGAACCTAGGAGAAACACTGTCAAAGTTTACAAAGTCTTGGGCAAGAAATCAAAGGTCTTAGGTGAACAGGAATTCTTTCCATTATTCAGTCAAAGAAGGCAAGGGATCTGGATAAAAAGAAAAGCAGATTTGGGAAGTGAATAGCTGGTTAAGAAGATGGTACATAAGGGCAGGATTTGGGTTTCTAGACTACAGCTTATAATACAGGAATGGCAAGGCACGCACTACATCTAACAAGGACTAGGAAAAAAAAGTACTTTCAGGCAGATAAGTGGTGCAACGGATAGAATACAGGCCTGGAGTGAGGAAAACCTGAGTTCAAATTTGACTTCAGATACTTACTAGCTGTATGACCCTGGACAAGCCACAAATCTCCTTTCTGCCTCAGTCTCTTTAACTATAAAATGTGGACAGTAGTAGCACCTAACTCCCAAGATTGTTTTAAGGACCAAAGGAGGTAATATTGATAAAGCATTTAGCACAGGGCCTGGCACATAGCAGACAATTAATAAATGCTTGTTTCTTTCCTTCTTATTGGCCTGGAGTCTTGTAAGTCTAGTCCAAAGGGTTTTCAGAAGCATCCTGGAGGCAAAGAGGGCTATGTGATTCTAAGCAAGTCACTAAATTTCTGTTTCCTTCAGTCTCCTCATCTGTAAAATGGGGATGATGACAATAGGATCTACTTTCCATGGCTGTTATGAGGATCAAATGAGACAATATATATAAAGTGCTTAGCACAGTGCCTGACACAGGGAGTGCTTAATAAATGCTTGTTTCATTCCTTCCTTTAAACTAAAAAGAAAGAGGGAAAAACAGCCACCAACCTACATACCATACAGAATAAATATAAAGTAGGAAGAAAGATAATAGTTGATGTACAAAAGTGCTCACAAGACGAAAAATCCAAGACAAGGAGCAAGTAGTAAAATTCATAGCCTCTAATATCTATACACAAATGCAGAAAGAATGGTCAACAAACATGATGAATTAGAGAGCCTAACACAAGAATGCAAATATGAGATTCATAAGTATCATATAGCTTTAGACAGGTGTCTTCATTCAAAAGAAACAAGACAGGTAAAAGGGGGAAGAAGCTAGCATTATGTATTAAGAAGATACAGACATATAGGTGGGAGCCAGGAGAGGGAGGTGGGGGTGGGGCACATTTGAGTGAAGATCAATGCCAGCAGAAACAGAAGCAATTTTCTCATGAAAATACACTGCAGTACCTAGGACCTCTTCCCCCTCCCCCCCAAAAAAAGGGAAGATGAGAAGTCTGGGAAACAGATTGTAAGCCTAAAACAGAGGCATAATATAATGATGATGATATTCAGTCATTTCAGTCTGTCTGACTCTTTGTGAGCCTATTTATTTTTCTTGGCAAAGATAACGGAGTGGTTTGCCATTTCCTTCTCCAGCTCATTTCACAGATAAGGAAACTGAGGCAAACAGGGTTAAGTGATTTGCCCAGGGTAACACAGCTAGTGTCTGAGGCCAGATGTGAATTCACAAAGATGAGTCCTCCTGACTCCAGGGCCAGTACTCTATTCACTGGGCCAGAAATGGGCATAAGCTAGAGCTCTGTTCTGCCAAAAACAGCAGCTCATTATTTCTTAACTTACTTTAAAGGTAATTTTATCTTTGAAAGGGTGGAGGAACCAATTCATTTCCAGATCATATTCTAACCAACAAAACTGCTTACTGAGGAAATACTCACTTCCTCTCAGAGTCTATAAAAAGAGAAGAGGAAAACAAGCCAAGATCCCTCATGAACTCTAGATTTTGGAAGAATGGATTTCAAAGACCTCAAAGGCAGAATAGGTTGGATGTCATGAACTAAAATTCAAGAGGGGAGGTCAGCTCTTGTGATATGACAATAGCAAATAATTTTGATGAGGAAGAAAAAGGGAGAGAAAAGGCATATTTAGTTCCAGAGGTATGGTAGAAGCAGTGTCCTAAATCCTGTCCCCTACTCAGGTTAGGCTAGTTTTTCTTAAAGGTACTTTGAGATTTGATTAGCTCAGAGGATTAAAAGGCTTGAGTGGTTGATGTCACTTCCTCATTGTATGAGTACAAAACAGCCCTGAGGAGCTCCAACCCCTTTAATGACTGCCAGACCACAATGGGCAAACAAAGACAGGGAGAGCTTCACTCAATCAACTCATGGTGGGCTCAGAGACCAGCCTTCCTTCACTACGGCCAAATGCATCTGCTTTTGTTAACCACTGAATGTCCTACAGGTGTCTCCTTTCACTGTTTGGGAGTGAAAGCTGAAGCTGTCTCTTTTTAAACCTCTGAAACTGGTACAGCACCAACAGGCTTCAACAAATCAACTGGGGTGGTGACTGGCACATTGGTTCTCAGTTCCAAAAAAGTCTCTAGGCTCCTGGGGAAAATCATTACAATTTTTTCTTAAATGCCTCTCAACAAAGTCTATGTGGCATAGGTCCCAATGGCCTCTCACTTGCCCTATAAAAATGTCACAAGCAGTTCCTTCAGCAGTTTTTTAGACTGTCCCAAAATTACAGCTGAGCTGGGCTAGAGCTATGCCTACCAGCTGGTGGGCCTGAAGACCAATACCATCCCCAAGTACAAGAAGTTGTCCAAATTCAACCACCATTAGTTTGATATAGTTATCTTCAGGATATCATTCTTTTTCTTTTTTTTTCATATATTTTTATTAGTTTATTCTGAATTATCAACAATCACTTCCATAAGCTTTTGAGTTTTAAATTTTTTCTCCCCTTCCCTCCCCACCTCCCTCCCCTAGTACAATCTGATATAGGCTATACATAACACATTCCTATTAAACATATTTTCACATTAGTGATGTTGTAAGTAAGAATTAGAACCAATAGGGGGAACCACCAGAAAGAGGAAACAAAACACAACAGAAGGAAAAAAAAAACAGCAAATAGTATGCTTTGACCTGCATTCAAACTCCACAGTTCTTTCTTCTTTGCGGATACCATTTTCTATCACGAGGCCTTTGGAGATGTCTTAGATCCAGGATATCATTCTTAATGCACAGAGCATGTTCATGTCAGTATCTCCTTGCTGAATGATCAGAAAGTGAACTCTCTAATTTCTCAGGGTTGAGGGTAAGTCACAGTAAGGTGAAGCCATCACCATTTCTAGCAACCTCACAAAAACATGGAGGCCAATCTGGGCTCACCTTTCTTTGAACTGCCCATCCCCCAAGTCAGCTCTCTGTTTTGTTCTATTCCTACCTTCTACAATAACTGCTCTGGGCTAGATGTGGCTCAGGCCAGTTTTCTGGTCGGAAAAAAAAAAAAACGTACTCAGCCAGACCAGAGGAAGGACATCACCCAGGATACCCACCAAGGACACTACCAGTTGATCCACCTGACTAAAACTCCCCTGCCTTTGAATCATCATTTGTGATCTGCCAGTCAAACCTCGGAAAAAGGCTGAAGCTCCATGTGACTGTTTTATCCTCAAGCAATTAGGAAGTGATGTCAGCCATCCCAGATTGGTCCCCTAGGCCAATCAAATCTCACGGACAGATTCAATATCTAATTAAGTAAAAACTAGCTTACATGGAAACAAAAGATTAGGATACTGCTCTCAACACAAGAAGGAACTCAAAAACAAACTTCAATTTTGAAAAGTTGTGAAAAAGATAAAAGGGTCAGCAGTAAAGGAAAAATATAAAAGCGTGATTTAGTACTGCAAGAATGTGCTAGGATTGATAAGGAAAGATACAAACAACAAAGAGGGCTTTTTCTACAGTGGGTTTTTGGTAGCTCTACTGGAAAGAGTATCAAAGAAAGGATGGCTACAGATAAAAATTAATGAGAGAAGGTAAAGTAGTTCAATTTTTACTTTGCTTTTTTCTGCCAAGGATGACCATGGACCTAAAGGACTGAATGAATGGGGCTAACAGGTAGTGAGTATCTAAGGTAAAGAGATAATGAAAAAAAGCTAGCTGCCTTTGATGAATTTAATTCTCCAGGTCAAATAAACTGTATCTTCATATACTAAAAGAATTGGTGGATATGAATGCTGACCTATTGTGAATAATACCTCAAAATCATGATGAACAAGCCAGTTTTTAAGCAGCAAGGTAAATGACCCCTGGGCATCTTCGTTGAGGTCTGGGCTAAACTACATAGCCACTGTGAAATCCCTCTCAACTCTGAAATTTGACAAGGTGATAATTTAAATGTATTCAATAATAGCCTATAAGTACAATATCTAAACTATTTATTGTGAAAATATATTCCAATTGTTCAAAATGTCAGTGGCTTTAAAAAATATATCCAGTTACAACCTGCACTAGAGCTATTCACTGTGATGCTATGAGCTCAGAAATCCTCTCTTAAAGATGAGCTACACGGTTCTGCTTAAGACATGACAGTAGAAAGCCTGCTGTTTTAAAATCTACTTTGCTTTCCTCAGATCAGATGATGGGACGGTATCTTTTAAATATTTCTGAAATTCAAGAGGAAGTGATTAACAGCTCCTAGGTGATAAGATGCTTTAAAATGAGTAAAAGAAGAACTTACCAACTCATTGCCAAAAACTGCAATATGCAGAACAGCAGAGCCAATCCTTTTTTATGCCACTAATAGAAAAATGAAAAATACTAATCAGTAGGAACATTTTACAACGTATTTTCAACATAATGTCCAATTCATGACTGTGACCCACTTTTAAACACCTGGAGTAGTTGTCTTGCCTCCATATTAGATGTGGAATTTAATTGAACTGAAATTCTTTTAACTGTTTATAAAGTGTTTTCCACATCCTAGGCTTCACTTTACTCATTAACTATTTCTCTGCAATATTCAACAGTTTAAAACAAAAAAAGCTTCTAAAGTCATTGCTTTTAGAGCAAGAACACAAACTCTTCAATGTATTGAACTTTTCAGAATAATTGTATTTTTTCCCCATATCTGGCACTAAAATCTCAGCTGCCAAAACTCCACACTTTAGTAATTCAATCATTGCTGTGATCCCTCTCATTTTTAGCAGATAGTCTTCAACAGTTGCTTGAAGGGTCCCCAACGCTGTAAGTTTCACTTCCTTCCATTTGCAACTTTTGAGTTTTTCTGTGTTTGGTGGGTAGTCTTCATTTTATTTTGATCTTTTAAACATTATTTTAAATGATCAATTTTTACACTTTGGGTTCAATCTTTGAGATTTAAGCTATTTTTCCCCCTCAAACCAGAGGTATCACCTCATCCACAAATTAGCAAAAACCAGAAAATTTATTATCAGGAGGGCTGTAGGAATGGTCAATCAGTGAATTGGTTCAATTGTTCCGGAAAATAAGGATTATGCAAGAAAAATTTCTTAACTATTTACATCCTTTGACCTAACAATCCCGAAAATAGGATTACATCCCAAGGAGGCTATGGACATCAAGAAAAGACCTATATATGCAAAAATATTCATAGCAGCATTACTGGTTATAACAAAAAGCTATAAACTAAACACATGACCAAAACTGGAGAATGGTTGAACAAATTAAGGTATATGAGTGTCAGTGGAATAAATAATGATGAAAATGAAGAATTAAGAGGAATATGAGAAGACTAATATCAAGAGATGTAGAATCAAAATGCAAAGCCAAAATAATCCCTCACACACACATTGTAAATCATGAAAAGTCAGAGGTTAACAAAAGCCAAATCAAATTCAAAAGACAATGTTGGTGCCATAATATCAAAATTAAAGCACATATCCTATCACTCCTTTTTATTAATAACTCATAAACCACAAAAAGTGGAAAGTAACAAAGTTTCAATCACTGTCATGCTATTTTCCACTATTTTCCACAACAGTCTAATGTACTTTTTGGGGAAGGTTTGTTTGGGAATATGTTGTGGTACCATAACAATTTTTTAATTGTTTCTCAGCTACAAGACAGACAGACAGACATACAAACCCATTCTGAAATTACAAATATGTGCATTTAAAGACAATGGGATAGTAACCCCTAATTCTTATGCAATGAGCTATTACTCATAAGTAAATTTCCTTATGAAGGGAAACTTATGCCTTTTAGATAGCATTTTAAAAAATTTCACCAATTTCTGGGGAAGTCTTATCTGAAACTAAAATGCATTATGCAAGGTTTTGTTTTCTTAAGTATAATTAACCATTTTCTCAATTATTTTAATTCATTAGTGCATTTTATTAATATTAATTATGAACTGCTCTTCTCTAAATGATAGTGCTCTGTACTGAAATGTGTGCAGTCTTGACCTTGAGGATTTCGGGGCCTTTTTGTAGTTTTTTCTGCCTCCCATCAGGTTTTAGCTGCCATTTTTTGTTACTGTTCCCATGTTCTTCCTCTTACATCCTCTTTACTTGCTACAAAGTATGCCAGACTAATTAGAATTCTACGTCAAATAAAAAGTAAGAGGCTGGGAAATGAACTTTCCACAAAGCAGAAGGGTCTTTAATATTAAGCTAGTTAAGGTTATTTTCCTTCACTCATTTCCTAATTCTAGGCTGTGCCAGTGACATTATTACAATGAATTTTATAACTACCTTTTATTCTTTGATGAACTCAAGGGGAACTTGAAGCAAAGCTACTCTTCAGTTCCTTGAATTTTACCCCAAGCACTGCTCCAGTTTGCTGAGCTCAGTAGTAATATACTTAAAAGCATTTAACAGAAAACTAGACAGATGCTAACACTTACCCAAAGAGCAGCACACAGAGTTAACACCAAACAAAGCTAAGTAAAAAAAAAAAAGACAGCATTTTTTTCATGGATAGTAATGTGACATGAGTTAAACTGTTTAAAAATATGCACTTATTTACAAATAAGTCCCATTCAAGAGTTGGCAAATGCCCCTGAAAATATTTTCTTATTAACATACTAAAAATCATCTCTAAAAATAGATACCAATGTCTGCATGGGACCAAATATTCTACTGACATTTTGTTTCCTTAATTACCTTCTTAAAACATGTTTAATACCTTGCCCAAAGCCTTGTCTGCAATATTGCTTTGCACAAACATCTGTTGATTGACTAGAACTGATGATACTGAACCTACAAGTTTAAGACTGAAAAGATTCCGGAAAGACAATTAGCACCAATTTATGAAAATGTTAAAAAATTAAGTGTTTACAGAACATAATTTTATTTTATTCATGTATATGCTGAGCCTAAAGCAAGTTTCCTTATACATGGAAAAAATGATTGCCATCTTTGATAAACTAAGGATAAACGTGAATGATATGAGAATATGATGCTACCAGGTGACAATTTACTTTTGGATCACTTAAAAGGTCAGTGGCACAGGAAGAATTAAAAGGAACTGAAATTAAAAGACAGTGAGAGAGAGACACTATAATTAGTTTTAGTCTCAACTCTGCCTCTGCATATTTTAAGCAATCAGTGAAGACAATATAAAATTTTAAGTCTATAACTGGTGTCACTTTTTTGTCCAGTATATGACATTTCTGAAGCTTTTCAATAGTTTAAAACAAGTAGATGAAGGCACTAGAAAAGTTTGACAGAAAAACACCTTAAGTACAAAGATAACTACACTGAATTATTTTTGTTTGTTGAATTGAATTCTTAAATATAAACTTTTAGTAAGCAAGCATAGGCCTAGTTATCAGAGACCTAGATTAAGTAATCCCATAAAAGCTGAATTTAATTGAATTTGATATATCTAATAGGATGCACATTTTTTTCTTGCAAAAAGGCTTAATGGGGGGGCAAGTAGGTGGCGCAGTGGAATATAGAGAGCACTGGCCCTGGAATCAGGAGAACATGAGTTCAAATACAGCCTCAGACACATAACACATACTTGCTGTGTGACCCTGGGCAAGTCACTTAATCCCAACTGCCTCACCAAAAAAAACAAAAAAGGCTTAATGCAGGCACCATATATACTCTATGTTCTTCAAGAAAGATTTTATGGGTAAAACTGTTCAATAAAAACAGAGTACTAGCATATGCATAATACAAGTATTTTCGTTATAATACATACAATTTAAACACTGTGCAAAATATGCTTTAAAGTCTTCAAAAATAATAAAGTGTTATTTACCAACATGATAACTGTAGCAAACAACCTTGTTGATTCAAACATTTTTTTCAGTTGTTTCACAGGACCCATTAAGAAGCAAGTACTATTTGAAAAAAGTCAAAAGAAAAAAGAATTGAGAAATATTCAACCAAATCTTTGCTAATTAAAAAATGGAATAAATTGTTAATAAGAATCAGATAAGTACTAGTTTGAATAAAATTCATATCATGTTTAGATGCATGCATGCAATTTGTGTTTTTTGCATATATTGTTACAGCTACTGTTGTCTAAATGGAGATAATGTGTCTCTTAAATAAATTTCTCTCATCCCAAATCCTAAAAAGTAAATTTAAATATTTCAATTATCAGAGACACAATAGTCTGATTTACAAAATTACTGAAATTGCTAATTTATAGTGTTGACAATTTATCTTGCATTTCTAAGGTAATTTTTTTTCCATTTATGGAGTACCCAATTTGACTATTTACTTTTCCTTATGTTTACTGTATTTGATAATAATGAAAATTCTATGACTAAAAGACTAAAAATACAACTTAACTGAAGTGAACAAGTAATAAATTTATAAATACACTGCTTCTCTCTATTGTGAAGTTAAAATTAACCCTAAGCTTTAATTATGGGTCAATACACTGGATCATTGACTAAACATAGCTCCCTACTACAAAATCTTAAGGTGTAGGAAACACATAACACTCTGATAACAATTCAAACATAACAATGATTCATAGGCAAATGAAAGCTTCAGTGAGAGAAAAAGTCTCACTTAAAAACATGATTTCTATGAACAATAATGAAACTCTTAAGTTAATGAATTTGCTAATTTTTTTTGCCTTTATAGGCTTTAGGAACAGTCAGCAAATATTAGATTCCATTTATACTAGTAATTCAATATTAATTTAATTTTAAGCATTTGCTTAATGTCTACTTTGTGTAAGGCACTACAGAACATACACAGATAAATAAAGACAAGGTACTTCTCAGGTCCTCAGTGAATTATACCTTTTAGCATTTCATAAGTTTTGAATGTTTTGTATCAAGAAGCAATATTTGCCACATAGTTTTACCTGAACTTTTAATAACCTTTCAGTTTGAGTTTCTTCATCCATAAAATATGGCTAATGCTTTCACTACTTACATCACAGGGCTATTAAGAGGACTAAGATGGAAAAATTGTAAACACTGTTATAAAGAACTATAGATATATAAGGTGATATTAAAATTTGAAACTTTAGAAAACAGAAGTGTAATAAATGAAGTTTAAGAATTCACTAACTTATTTGCTTTGGATATTAGCAAAAACTGCGCAGTTACTATTTTTATGATGTAAGCCAATAAGATTAATATTTCTAGTAAAAGAAAAACCAAAATGTTCTAGCTAATATAATTTTAAAAGGTAAATATTTAACAGCAATATAAAAGGGAATATATTTAACATACACTTACCTGGCTAATGCAGAAATATTTCCCAAAGTGTAGAAAACTGCAAAAAGTTTCATCCCTCCTGGAAGCCATAGCAATGATGTTCCCTGTATAATATTTTAGAGTTAATCCAATATGCTTCTAAACCAAAAAAAACACTAATCACCTACTACTAAACATAATTTCAAAAAATAAGTCAATATTAAAGATGTTACATAGCTCATTTGTAGGGAAACATCTATAAATAAATTCACTATTTTTTTCAGGCCTAGTTCCAAGTAACAACTAGCACTAAATAGATTTCTTTGTGACATTTGCTGTTTAAATTGAGCTCAATGGACCAGGGGTTAAGAGACCCAAATTCTAGTCATTCCTTTACCACTAATGAGCTGCAAACCTTTAGCAAAAAGCTTTGCCCCTCTGAGCCTAGATGATAAAATGAAGCGGCTGAATTAAATAAACTCTAAACTCCCTTGCAACTCTTAACATTCTATGAAATACTCTTTTTCAATGACAGGCTCAAACAAACAAACAAACAATAAATCTAAATTACTCAAGCTTTCCCCATACACAAATTGCTTCCTCTGGATAAACTTGGTGATTGTTCTTCTTTTAAAAAACAAACAAAAGTTACTGTTTTTTAAACTTCTTTCATATGTAGTACTATTCTAATGTTACAAAAAAAAAAACACAGACCATATCTCAAAAATAAACTATTTGGGAAAAATACATATATAGGAAAATTACCACATTTTTATCTTAAATTAACTAAAGATATAATTTATTTTTTTCACTCTTCTTTGTTTTTGTTATTTGTTTGTTCTCTTCTCAACTGTTCCACAGAATGTTAGTTTCACTACCATCCACTGAATTTGGAAAGCAGAATTTTTGGAATCCAGAAAAGAGAGATGCAATAGATTCAGGAATTGTTTTAAAGAGTTAAAATCCAGCAGATTTGAATACGGCTGCATGGCAGATGCCAACATACCTACTGGCATGGTGGTATCTCCACTCACCAAAAGTCCATCATAGCATTGCCTAAAACTAAAAGCTTGGATCGTGGGCTGAATTCAGGCTTAATACAAGATAGATTTAAGGGGTTAAAAAAAAAACTATATCAAGGGAAAGTTATATTCCTGGGCTCAACACCATATTTCAAGGGATATCCTCAAACCTAAGAAAACTACGATACCTGTGGACTTTAAGCACTTATACTGATATGGTTGTAAATATTGGTGGCTATTAGTCTTATTTATATTAAATATTTTTAAAAATAAGGTTTTGACTTACAATAAGAGAACATAAAATGCCACATACGAAACATATGGCAAACCACTTCAATCTAGTATTCCAAGAAAGTGTTGAGGCATCCAGGACCTTAAAGAGGAGAGGAAAAAAAATGTTTGAAAACCACATTTAAATTGCCACTCCAATCCTTACATTTTTTCCACAAGAAATTAAGGCAATGGTCTGATTCTCTGAGAAATATTTTAATTTCACATATGATTATATGACTTAAGTACCGAAAGATTTTATTTTTAAAAAAGGCTCAAGGTCATCATGAACTTACAATAACCAAAATACATTAAACTAAAAATGTTTTCAATTGACAATTTATTGCATAAGCAAACCCCTACATATTAGGTAAACCCTTAACAAATTATGTGAATTAATATGACTTACACAGCACTGAGTAAGCCACCACATTCAAATACTAAGTACCACAATTAAATATGATTTACCACCAAAGTTGGAACAGATCTGTTAACAGCTAATTGAAGAAATTAAACATGTAAAATTAGGAATAATTTCCTCCTCAAAATGTGAATGTATAATGTATAAGTGCATTTCAAGGTAAGATAGCATGTTTTAAGAATAATATAATAAAATTAGAACTTTAAAAAAGTATTCCCCAGTTAAAAATCCTATGGTCATATTCCTTACCTGATCAAATCCATCTTGAATCCTTAGGCAGCATGAAAAGTAGATAAGAATAACTAAATAAAGACATTTGTCAATTAACCAGAGTCAATTTTAATTTTTAATGCTCACTTTGTTTTAATTTTTCACCTACCTTATTTCATATGAAAAGTTTTTTACATAGATGCAATAATAGTAATGACAGATTTGGGAAGAAAGTAACTAACCACTGCGAATCTCCTTGTTACTCCCAGAACAAATTCTCTTTGGCCATGGTCTCCCCAACCTCCTCACCAGGAGTCAATGCCGTGGGGGACCAATTCTCCAGATTAGCTGACTACCTCTCCAGGCACACCAATTCAGGAAAGTCTCAGCCATGCATTATTTCTCCCCTTGCTCTCTGACCATCTCCTCCATAACTTCCTCACTCCAACTCCAACCACTTCCTCTGATAATTCTCCTAACTTACTTGAAATGCTTTCCATAGCATACCCTTTCCTTTTCCCCTCCTCTCTCTGTTTTCTAGTTCTGAACTCATGAGCCAACATCAAATCAAACTGGCTATATAATTCTCTGATGAAAGGGTTTGTTAATCTATTCCCCAAAAGCCCAATTTACCATCCCAGGAATTTGCAGACCAACATGTCACTCCCTAGCTACCATTAGGAAGTAAACACCTTTAAACGCAGGGGCTATATTTCCGAACACCTGAAAATTTGAAATGGGAAATGGACAACAAAAATTACACTGATGCCGATTATACTTTTACCCGTAAGTTTAAGCAATGTAAATCAAAAGTTGTTTGTTCTTCGTTTAGAAGAGGACCAATGACTTCATGGGGTGATATCTTGAGTCATGTGTGAATTGGATTTAAGTAACGCAGAATTGCACAAAGTAATCAGCTTCATTCTCTCTTTCAGAGTCATCCAAGTCCAGTAGCAAGACAAAAGTCAGGGTGACTGGTGATGGCCTGGGATGCAATGGATGACCTTAGTGTCTTTGATGTATGACCAGTCTCTAAGCACTCCACTTTCATGGCAATTGGAACAAATTGTTTTTATCAGCCCGTTTTCACCAGAGAAAAGTCTTCACACAATTAAAAGGTTAGTTAAAAATGGATTCATGATGAAGAATCTTTCCAAAGAAGTAGAAAACAAAAAAATGAAAAAAAAGCTAATTTATTCATTACAATTATAGGCCACAAAAAGTGAGAATGCAAAGACCGAAGCACACAAGTATCTAGAAACAAGCAAAAGAAGAAGCACAAACCTTAAGCTGATCTGCTGAGGGGGGGAGGGGGTGATGATTAACAAATCATAAATGAAATGCCACAGGAAAAAGAGCTAATTCTAATGGATTTACCAGTGATTCCTAACATTTAAAGAAGTCATTCAACAAAATCACTCTTAAAAATATAGCATTCATTCTACCTAACTACTTCTAAGTTACAAATATCCTGATAACCCAAACCAGGGAAACAGCAAAATAACAATAAACCATATTTTCTAATGAATATAAATGCAAAAACAAAGGTACAATTCTTGCAATATAGCCAAAAACTGATTTACTAAAACCAAATTGGAGCTATACCAGGAACTAAGGATAGATCAATATGGAGAAAAAAATGATCATATTTAACAAGAAAAAAAAAACTGATTATTTCAATGAATACTGAGAAAGTTATACAGAGTACTCATTTATATTAAAAGCCCTAAAAATCATAGGCATGGAAGGGCCTTTCTTTAATATTATTAAAAACATATATATAAAACCAAAAGCTATCATGTGCAACGGGAAAAAATTATTAGAAACTTTCCCAATATGAACAGGGACAAAGCATGGTGGTCCCCTAACCAAGCTACTGTTGAGCATAATTCTAGAAACGCTAGCTATAGCAATAGATAAATGTAGACTAAAAAGAGATGTTGGAGAAGACTTAATCCTTTTTATAAAGTATCACTGATAAAAGTTTGATATCTAGGCCAGAGATGTGTGTGTGTGTGTGTGTGTGTGTGTGTGTGTGTGTGTGTGTGTGTGTGTGTAACTGGTAACACTTTTTAAGAGCAAGGCATTTCCCCAAAGTAGTCAAAGGCATATGAGGTTATCTATATAAGAATTACGCTCTATAAATGACCACATATGTTCTAGACCACTAAAAACAGAAATACAAATTTAAACAACTGAGGTTTTACCTTATACTCTGCAAAACAGCCAAAATTAGGAAAGAAGGGGAGGGGAGAGGAAAGGGGAAATGGGAACCAACCAAGAAAGTAAGTAGGCATTGTCAGGGGGCCTAACTAGGGAAATGACAGCAGCACGCAGAGGCAGAGTGCTGAATGCATTATTAAAAAGTTTACTGCATTTGGTATTTTTGCTTAACATTTTTTCTTTGTTACAAAAGATGTTTCAATTTTGAGGTGAGGGAAGACTTTAAAGTGGAGATATTTCCAGAAATGACTTTTTAACAGTTATGTCTTTTGCTCTGACATTAAGTTTTGGAAAAAAGAAAATGACCAAATAATTGGGAACTGGCATAGCTACGAATTTGTTCAACCACTCTAGAAAATAACTTTTGAATTATGCAAGAAAAGTTACAGAAAGTTGCAAAAAGTTTATATCCTTTGACCCATGAATGCAATTATACCTCCACTAAATTTAGTGCCAGTAAAAGATCCATAAGTACAAAAATATTCATAACAACACTTATTATGATAGCAGAACTGAAAACAAAATATAAGTCCATGGCTAAAAGAGACTAAGATATGAATGTAGCAAGATATTACTGAATTATAAGGAATGACAAATAGAATATTTTGTAAATGAAAACACTCATATGAAGTATACTGAGTGGAAAAAGCAGAACCAAAAGAACAAATACAATGACTATATAAAGTCAATCCTCAAAATTTACATGTTCGACTTTTGCAACTTTAAGCATTTGTGATTTTATTATTAACCTCATTTCTACTTCTGCATAGCCATGTGCAGTAAAAACAAAAGTGAGAGATGTCATATATCCACAAAAAGGAGGAAAGTATTCATAAAAGTGTTTAGAATCAGCTCTACCTCTCAAGTGTGTGATGAGGGAATGGTGAAGTTTGTGGGCAAATGAGATGGTGGTCACTTCAGCCCTCTCACCTCCAGTGACTGACCAACATCCTGCCTGTGCCTCTGGACTTCTGAGTAGTATGGACCAACGAGGACAACGGAATCTGCCCAGGAAGAAGTTCTGAGTTTTGACCATGCTGAGGACACACCCTGAGGCATATGTTTTTCATCACGGAATAGTTCAACAATGAAACCCAAAAGGAGATTAGAGATGGCAGGTTACCCTTTTCCCTTTTTTTACCTTGGACTTCTGACATCACCCCTCCCCATCCCTCCTCTCCCCTTCATTGTAAGGGTTATTTCGTGGTTACTGGGTTAGAAAAAGTGCATATTATCAGAATTACTGTTTTATTATGAATAATTATATATAGAAAAGTATATTTTCAGCAATCTCTATGGAAAGATTAGTTTGTAGTGGTCATAGGAACCTAACTCCTTATTTCCCATAGGTTCAACTGAAACTGCTCTTTCTAAAGTTATCAGTGATCTCTTAATTACTAAATCTAATGGTCTTTTCTCATCCTTCCTCCTTGTACACTTCTCTACAGCATTTGACACAATTGATCACCCTTTCCTCCTGGATACTCTCAAGGTTTTCAAAGCACTATTCTTTCCTGGTTCTTTTACCTGTCAGACCACACCTCAGTTTCTTTTGTGGATCCTCATTAGGTCACTCCCAGTAACCACAGGTGTTTCCCAAGGTTCTATCCTGGGCCTTTATTTCTTCTCCTTCTAAACTACAATGATCTCATCAACTCCAAAGGGTTCAATTTCATCTCTATGAAGATGATTCCCAGATTTGTATATCCAACCTAATTCTCCCTCCTGAACTACAGTCATGCATCTCCAAATGCCTCTTATAGATTTTGAATCAAATGTTCTACTGCTACTTTAAACTCAGCAGGTCAAAACAGAACTCATGTTTTCGCCCCAATCCTTCCCTCTTTTCAATTTTCCTAGTACTATTGGGAAACCACCATTTTCCCACCCACCCATGCTCACAGCCTGTGTTATCTTGGACTCCTCTCATACTCACTCCTCACATTCATATTGTAGCCAAGTGTTGTCATTTCCACCTTCATATCTCTTGTATATTTCCTTTGCTCCACTATAAAACCACCACCCTTATAAATGTCTTTTTTTATCACGTCTTACCTAGACTAGTAGAACATTCTAATTCATCTCATTAATAATACTAATAGCTAGCATTTATAGTCCAGTAACGTTTGCAAAATACATTACATATGTTAACTCTCTCTATCCCAATCTATCCTCCACTCAGATGCCAAAATGTAGGTCTGACCGTGTTATCTCAATGCTCAATAATTACCTTCAGGATCAAATTAGAA